ACCTTGTAAACCCATTTCACATTAATTTCCTTCTTGCCTTGAGGCAAATTGACAAATGATTGGGTGTTGTTGACTTCGAAGGAGTCTAACTCCTCAATCATTGCTTTCACCCACTTCAAATCTTTCAATGCCTTAACTGCATTGACTGGTTCGACATCTGCGTAGAAAGCACAGTGTACCAACTCACTTTCTTCATCGACCATATTATCTGATGTAATCACACATTCTTGCAACCTTGAAGGCATGTGTCTTGATCGTCGAGCTCTATTTGGGCTAGCTTCATCTCTGAATTGTTCCTGTTGAACTTCTCTTTCGACTTTAGTGGTTGGTTCATAACAAGAGATGCTCACCGAATCCTTCTTGACATTCTCAGTCCAATCCCATTATTTAAGCTCATCTATGATCACGTCCCTGCTGATCACTACCTGCTTATTCATTGGGTCGAACAACTTGTAACCTCCAGTTGAATGATATCCTATCAAGATCGTCTGATTCGACTTATCATCAAGCTTCCTTCTCAACTGATCTGGAACATGTCTATATGCTATAGATCTAAACACCTTCAAGTGACTGAGGCTAGGCTTGACACCAGACCAACATTCTTCTTGTGTGATTCCTTCAAGCTTCTTCATCGGACATCTGTTTCATATGTTTCAAAACCGCTTCTCCTCATAATTCTTTGGGTAGATGCTTTCCATTCAACATACTTCTTACCATGTTCATGATGGTTCTGTTCTTTCTTTCTGCAATTCCATTTTGCTTTGGAGTGTAGGGTGACACCACCTCATGCACAATCCCTTCTTTTTCAGATAATGCATCAAACTCTTTCGACACATACTCTCCACCATCATCAGTCCTCAGAATTTTCAGCTTTTGGCCACTCTGTCTTTCAACCATAGATTTGAATATGGAAAATACCTTGATCACATCACTTTGCTTCTTGATGAGGTAAGTCCACAACTTTCGACTGTAATCATCTATGAACGTGACAAAGTATATGTTGCCTGCAATCGAATCCACCTGGATTGGACCACATACATCAGAGTATATAACTTCCAGAGTTGCCTTCGACTTTCTTCCTGTATCCTTGCTGAAGCTATTCTTATGATGTTTCGACTGAACACACTCTTCACAAACTTCACTTGGAATGTCGATTTCAGGTAATCCTGAAGCCATATTTATTCTCTTTAGTTCTCTGATGTCATTGAAGTTGAGATGGCCTAGTCGAAAATGCCATAACCATTCATCTCTGCTGACTGCAGTTGCTAGGCACTTGTGCTCCATGATATTGAGTTCAATCTTGAAGGTCTTATTCTGAGACATTTGAGCCTTCAAGATTAACCTACCACCTGTGTCACAAACTCTCATCATCTTGTCTTTGATCGACACCTTGTAGTTCTTTTGGACTAGTTTCCATATACTGAGTAAATTACTCTTCATGCCTTGCATGTACAACACATTGGAAAATTTTGACCTCTTGACATCTTTCCTCATAATCAAACATCGCCAATACCTTCAGTTGCTAGAGTATTGTCATTTGCAAATTTCACCATGTTCTTCGAAGAGGGCTTCATGTTGACAAACCAATCTTTTCTTCCAGTCATGTGTGATGAGCATCCAGAGTCCAAGTACCATTGGTCTTGGAATCTCTCTTCGTCTCTTGTTGTGACCATTAGCAACATCTCTTCTTCTTCATGCTTCACTATCTTTGCATCAGTTTCTTGATCTTCTTCTTTTCTCGACATTCACTAAAATAGTTACCATACTTTTGACAATTGAAACACTGAATGTGACTTTTGTCAGACTTTCGTCCACCACCTCTTCCTTTACCTGCAGCACCACCTCTTTGGTTGCCTTGGTTCTAGGGTTTTCTCTGATTCGACCAATTTTCTTCCTGCTGATTTCGACCAGTCAAATTATTGTAGCCTCCACTACCTTTGTTGCCATTCCAGCTTCTTTTGCCTTTCCTTTCCTTTTCTTAATGCGCCTGCAAAGTCATATCACTCTTCGACTTTCCTGCAGCTCTCTCAGTCATCCTTTGTTCATGAGACTCAAGCGTCCCTTGAAGATCTTCTTTCGTCAATGTTGACAAGTCTTTCGACTCTTCTATGGCTACTACCATGTGGTTGAACATTGGAGTCAAAGACCTTAAGATCTTTGCAACAACTGATCTTGATGTCAACACTTCTCCACATGCCTTGATTTGATTCACTAGCTTTGCAACTCTAGTGAAGAAATATAATATACTTTCACTTTCTTCCATCTGAAGCAATTTATAGGTTCTCTTGTGAGTTTGTAACCTCACCTCTTTCACCTTTTCTGTGCCTCCAAACGACTTTTCAAGAATCTCCCACGCTTCCTTCGCTGATTCTACATCACTAACCTTTACAAAATTATCTAGATCTACACATTGATGATTATAGAGAGAGATTTATAATCTTTCTTCTTCAATTCTTTGAATGCTGTCTTTTCTTGATCCGTCGCATTTTCTTCAAGCGGTGCTACTCCTCTCTTTACAAGATCCCAAACATCTTGATAACAGAAAACCACCTTAATCTGCTTGTACCAATTCTCATAGTTATCCTTCTTGAGAATTGGAAGATTCACCGGAAAGTGCCTGTTAGGATGATTCATCGCCATCATGATTTTCCTTCCTTGAATCGTAACTGGAGCTCTAGATACCAGATGTTGGAAATTCAACCATAACCTATAGAGAATTCCACTCAATCAATCTTGATCTCAAGATTGTTTCAACCCACTCACATAATGACAATGAAAAGATTTAGAAAGAAAGAAGAAAGAAAGTAAAACGTTGGAGAAGAAGAAGATGAACAATTTTCTGCAGAGAACTCTCTGCCCACAACCTGTGGAAATTCTATTATTTCACTTGCAACTGCAAACTGTGAATTACAAAATATGATGAGTTTTTTTATACAAAATAAGAGTTTCTCCCTATTTATAGATTTAGGTTAGCTTGCACCCCAAGTCAAAGTCTAAAACTATAAAAATCCAAAATCGCTAACTTTACTAAAATAGGGCTAAGTCGACATCCTGTGTGAAGCAACCTGCTTCGACACTTCGACACACTAACACATTAGGCTAATTTGACTAATCCTTGTTTTTGTCGAGCTACACTAACAAACTCAACACATTGTTGTTTTACATTTGTTTTACAAACTTCTAGTCTTTTTAAAACTTCTGAAATTACATTTCACATTTTTTCTCAATTGTTTCGACCATGTCGAAATTCTTCATATTTCCATAAAACTATAAACAAAAGCGTTTAGCACTATATCCAGAGATTCTCTAGTTGATTCTGTAAGTAACCTTCAATAAGAGACTAGTGATTGTTTATCGAATTTTACAATAAACACTATGTGACTAGATTCGTACTATTTTCATGATTTGATATCTCAATGCTATTCGTATGTTGATGAGCATATGAATTGAATTTAGGTGTGTAGAGATTACTGACCCTAACACATTGAACCTGAAATAAGATCATTATTCAAAGTGATGTGATCAAGATAAATCTGAAGTGTTACTAAGAAATGCAAGTGTTGGTTAGGATTGAGATCTAACTGTTACAGCTGGTGAAGAATCTTCCTTGGCAGTACAAGCAAGCAAGGTAAGTAGAAGATGAAGATCGATACCGTTAAAACAATAACAAAAAACGGTTACACCTCTTAGAAGTTAATTAGAGAGCAGAAAAGATCTAATAAGGTGAGTGATACCATAATAGAATTCGTGAATTTCATTAAACCTTTTGCTTGAATGAATTACATTACATAGTACACTTTTATTCCTTATATCGAGTCAAGTGTAAGGGCTTTATCAAGATGCATGAAATGAAACTATATGCATATTGTTCATGACAACCTTTCAAAAATTATAATTTAAATAATGTATCAGTTTTTAACTACATATACTGACTCTAATTTATACCAATGGTCTTACTGCCACGTCACGTCACCAGAACTTAACATTATTTTGTTAGAAATTGACAGAAAAGACCAATCAGGAGAATAGAAATGAAGTTAAGCAATTAAATGGTAACGTTTCTTTTAGATAAAAGACTAAATCAGAACATTAAATTAAGTTAAGGGATTAAAATATATATTAACTCCTTTAATGTATTTTCTCCTATGAAATACGGACACCTCAAATTTGACTCCGACTCTGACACGATAACGCCAGTAATAATTTTAAGAAATATATAAATTAAATATAATCACAAATATCGAAACAAGGGTCCAATAATGATATATTTTTTTATAGATATCGGTGCAGCATAGATTTTCCTTATAAATAGAGACACAAATATCAAACATTCGTGCCATACACAGGTTGCCGACCCCTCCATTTGACCAATTCCTAAGTTTTACCTCATTGGTATTTCCGAATCATGTTTATTATTATTCTCATTAAATTTTCCAAAAAATAAAACATTTTCATAAAAAAATATTCAAATGTGTCACTGTGACTCACACAGTAGAAGAATGAGTAATGGTCATCGAGTATCAAGCAAAAAATAAGCCCAAAAATAAGTGAAGTTGAATAGGTGGAAATGTGAAAAAGTCAGAAACTGAGTATTAATGCTTAGAGTGTGGTTCTTGATTACTAGCTATATAATAGTGAGAGAAGAGAGAAAGAAATTATACTCAATTTCTTCAGTTTACACTTTTTAGGTTGATGATGGAATGTGCAAGTGTTGACAGGCTTTGTGCTTGAAGCACTTGCATTCTGTTTCTTATTCTTCTGTTTGACAGGTATGAAATTTGAATCTCTAGCTAGTGGTTTTATAGGTAGGTTTTCATGTTTTGAATTATTATATAGCACCAAACCCTCTGAAAAAATGTGTCCTTGTCGGTGTCTCATGTCATGTTTCTGTGTGTTCGTGCTTCATAGTTTTGAAATATTATGAGCTTGTTGTGTGATTTTAATACTGCAATTTTCTCACTCTTTTGTTTTAGGAACCTTATGTAGTAACAAAACAAAGTATGGAAATTTCTGAGAGTACAAGGATTCTTTTCGAGAAAATTCAAAGATTTGAGCCGGAGTATGCTCTGAGGATCATTCACAATCTCCTTATGCAAGAACGTGGTGAACAAGAGATTGCTAACTTAGCTTCATTACCAGATCATGTGATCCATGAATTTTCTGTTAGAGCGAGAATTGGACTTGAAATGTTGGCTATTCGCTCGGGAAATCCTTCGCCAGCAAGTTTCCAGGTTCACTCTCCCTTTCATAATATGCATGATGGAAATACTAGTTCAGATTTTATGCCGTTAGGTTATATGGATTCCGTCACCGAACATCAAACTCGTACCGCATTGTTGGGTTCGGAGAATCTTCATCCGAATATTCAATATGTAGATAGTGTAACGTCTACCGCAGCTAACTTTAATCCTTATAATAATATTAATTACTACCTAGAATATGTTCCGAGAGTTGCCGGTTTAAATGGAAAAAACAGTAGAAGGTCTTCGAACACGACCGAATTTCCATTCAAAACTTGTCACTATTTCAGCAAAGGTTATTGTAGACATGGAAATAGTTGTAAGTTCTATCATAATGGACAAACTGTTTCTGAGCTGTACGGAAACAACGACATTGCTGTTAACAACGAGCAAGTGATTTCGCTCGGATCACTAGCAAAACTAGAGTCGGAAATCGTCGAGCTTTTGAAACAGAGAGGAAATCCTATTTCAATTGCTTCACTTCCAACGGCATACTATGAAAAGTACAAAAAGGCCTTACAGGCAGAAGGTTACCTAGCTGAGAGCCAGCGACATGGTAAGTCAGGCTGCAATTTGACAAGGCTGCTGATTCGATTGAGAAATAGCATTCGGCTAATCGACCGGTAAAGAATAGAAATAGAATTTTCAATATTGTATTCTTAAGTGAGAAACTGATTGAGTTTTTCTTACTTTAGTTTTATTCTTGTTTTGGTGTGATTAATAGGCCTCACGGGCAGCATGCGGTGGTTTTGGCCGAAGATGCCCCAAAATTCAAGGGAAAGGCTGACTGTCAAAATATCAGTGCATCACAACAACTTTACATAACATTTCCAGCTGATAGCACTTTCTCTGAAGATGATGTATCAAACTACTTTAGGTAAATTGTTATGTTTTTGATGTAATGTATAACTCTTATCGCGTCTATTATCGGTTTTGTGTTAGAAAACTCTAACGGGTTTTAACTGTTTGTTTAACAATGTAGAACTTTTGGGTGCGTTATAGACGTAAGGATTCCGCACCAGCAGGAAAGGATGTTTGGATTTGTGACATTTGTTTATCCAGAAACTGTGAAAACAATTCTGGAAGAGGGAAATCCTCACTATGTTCGTGGATCGCAAGTTCTTGTGAAACCTTACAAGGAGAGGTCAAAACTTGTTGACAGGTGAATTGATTTATTCTCAGTTCGTTCAATAGCATTTTATGTCGATCGGTGTATTAAGCAGAGTTAATATTGAATGCAGGAAGTACCAACACCGATCTGAGCACCATGTTCGTTATTCACCGCAATATGTTGACTTCGATGCTGAAATCGCTTCAAGTCCGATAAGTTGTGGAAATGCTCGGTATCAGACAAGGCTTCGCATTGACGAGCAATACCGATTCTTTGAATTGCAGAGAAGGCATCTTGCAATGTTGCAAGTTGCTCAAAACACTCAGTCTAGTCCACCCCATTATGACATCAACATGAATGGACCAAGAGTTTCCGATGGTATTGATTCCATATTTGAAATCATATTTAGAATCATTACATTTTGATCGACTTATTTGAATTTATCTATCGGTATAAACACTTATAAGGGCCTAATTAAGCTGTTTATCCAAACAAATTCTTTGTATTTGTACTGATAAAGATTATTCTTCTTACAGATAATCTCAATGTCCAGCTCCAGCCGACCGAATCTTTGAGTTATGCAAGAAATTTCATAGCCGATAACTCTGACAAGGACAGGTTTGAAGCAATTGTGAATAGATTTTCTTGATTCACAACATTCTCTTACTCTCCAATCTTCAATATATAGATTACATTTTATTCACAACCTCTCCCTTTGCGGGAGTACCTACCTGTTCCAGACTCCGCCAAGTGGGAGCCTCTTGCGAAAGAAACTTCGTAACTTTTTTAGTATTTATATATATTTGGTTTTTTAACTATCTATATATTTAGTTTTAACTTATTTTCTGCAGCAGGAAAGGAGTGCACCAAGCAGATAGCGCGTTTTCGTTTCGCATAGATACAGCAATTTCAACAATCATGTAGTTTAGTTTCAGAATCAAAGGCAGGAGACAGAGAGAGTTACAATAACTCAGTTTAGTCAAAGAAGGTTCTTTTCGCAACTCAGTTTAGACAAAGAAGGTGTTGTTACATGTTATAGTTTTTAGTTAGTTATAGAAGCAATAGTTATTAGTTAGTAATATCTTTTAGAATAAAATTCATCACTGGATGAAAGTAACTATGAGATGTTTTAGGATATTTTAGGCTATTCAGAATAAAGAAAGAGAATATCTTAGTTAGGAAAGCCTTATTGTCATATGAAAAGGCAAAACCGTTTTCTCTGTAAGGGTATACTTGATGTTTGGTTAATTTAATATATGCAGAATTTGAGGTCTTTCTATGTGTGTGTGTCAATACTCAAGATATTCATTGTTAATGGATTAGTGCCGTGACTTCTCGAGTGTAACATTCATCTAAGACAATTAAAACATCTTATGGCAATGTTTAAAAGTTGTTTTCAGCTTATTTTCATAAATTGTCTGTGTATGAGATGTTTATATCCATCCAAACATAATCTAATTTTAGTTTGGCGATGCCAAAAACTTCAAGCCTATTTATGACGTCCTTATCATTTCAACCCATATGTTCATCCCCAAATCACGCCTTTAATACACATATCATTTAGTTTTTGTTTAATTATCGATATTTTTCTCATAGATATACTATTTTGACATGGTTTTCATATAGATAATATCCGCAAAACAATCAGGAACATAACAAAAAAATGACAAAAAGACCTAGACACGCCTTAGCAGGAGCATAAGTAGTTGTATTTTCGCATGAGCACCAGTATTTTTTATGCCTTACAAAATTTTTTGATCAGTTTTGTCTACTAAGTAGGGATTCAATACAGGTTGATGCTGTGGAGTCAAGTTTAGAAGGAAAGTCTTGTCTGCTTAAGACAGTGTCTTGCATGAAATTCAAAGACAATCTGTTGTAGACCTGAGAACGTATGGTGGGATTGAGGGGTTTTCTGCCATAATCCGCTATAACAGTACCACAAAGAAGCATGTATGGCGGGATTTTGGCTCTTTATCATGGACCGCCATCTGCCATCGATAACACTGTCTGTGAGCCTTGAAATTAATTTGCGCCTTGATGCAACTAAGAAGTGTCTTGTTTTCGATCACTTTATTTGAAAAAAGATTACAAAAACATCGACAGGCAGTAGGATGACCCCATGGTTGTGTCATTGTGCATGGAAAATTTCAATGTCAAGAGATGCCTAATCGATCAAGGCAACACAACAGATATCATATTTGACGAAGCACACAAAAAATTGTGCTGAATGACATAATTCATAAGCCCCACCACCGAACATCAGTAGGATTCTCAAGTGACAGTGTTGAAGTTCTAGGATTCATTAAAGTCCTGATAACTTTTGCAGAAGCCGTCGACTCCAACTTGATACAAGAATGGCTGCTAGTCAGAAAATCGCCACATCTATCAACTAAGTTCTCATTAGAGAACATGAAGATCGAAACCATGCATGCATATCAACAAACGATGAGAGAATGTTATGTTAATAGCCTAAAGAAGAACCACAAAGATAGTGAGTGAGACGACAAGGTAATTCAATCAAAGGATGGCATGCTGATAAAGACCTTCTGAGGTGAGGAGTCCCATTCAGAGGACCTATAAACTATCTTCGAACAGGTCATGAAATAAAACATGAGGATAAACCTGAAAAATATACTTTTGGGGTTCAAGGCACAAAATATATATGATTCATGATCACCTAAACGTGATCGAAGTCAAATCAGACGTGTAGTGCAATATTTGAGATGTGAAGACCTTCATCCATCATATAAGCATAATGACTGAAAGGACAAATAACATCCTAGTTCTCTTCCAAATCGACATATCACTCCTTACCTGTTTATTAAGTCCTCAAGAAGATTGAACGCTTCCAATAGACTCCTAATACGAATAAGTCACCTTGGTGAAACCACGCCTATATCACTCTAGAACCAACATAATTATCACAGTATAGAGCTGAAAAACAATAAATAACACAAAGAATTGTCAATTCAGTTTAGTGAAATCACACCTATATCTTGAGGGTTGAATTTACAATCCAAGAAAGAAAATTACAAACAACAACAAACTCGTGTTGTTCAATGTCTCTTCCTAACACTATCCAATGACTTTCTATTTAGAGTCTCCCCCTAAACATGATAACCTACTCATTTTCTTCTCAATCACACAATCTGTGATTATGTGATTGGAGATTACAACTCAATAATCAATGTTGAATACTATCATTCAACTCTAGACAAACCTTCTATGTCAAGTTACTAAAACATAGAGGTGTACATACAACAATAACATAGACTCTTAATTAAATCCTAGCACTCTAAATATTCAATGTATTGTTTGGTTTTCAATATAGATTTTGAGTTCTTTATGAAGCATAATAATTCTAGGCTTTTCTCTTTGAATAATATCTTTGATTTCGTTCAGAATTAATGCAAATAATTGTGTTGGATATTTGATTTGTTCCTTCAATATTTCCAACAATATATTATTTGTTTCATTTTAAATTCAAATTTAAATCTTCATTTAAATCTGAATTAATATTCATCCAACTGTCAAACAAATCATCTAATCATATTGCTAAATAAAAGCAATAAATTAGAACTGAATTTTTTCCAAAGATTCACCTGAAATGTAGCTTTTTGGCGCCTATTGAGTAAGACTCAGATGTCGTACCATCATCCTGGAGTATCGCGCCCAGCATGTGTCCTTTTTACAACTTAAGAAAGTTAGATCAATCTTCAATACTTAGACATTTTTCCATGTTGTTGTTTTGCTAAATGCAACCAATCCAAAGTGTCAATTCACTAGGAACTAAAATCTCCCCCTTTAATATATTGTGGCAAAAAAACTTTCTAAGATAAATATCACTTCTTCCATCAAAACAAGTGACAACCAATAGAACTACTGGACTATCAGAGCATACAATCAACAATATAATTCATCTTCCAATTATTAGAGTTAAGCACCAGCAGCAACAACAGAAGTCAATAGTATCAACACTAAGATGCTTACACATAATCCATTCAGTTGCTCCAAACCAAACAACAAATCATGCAATCATTCACAAACTTAGTCATGCATGAATCCAGTTAGTTCATAATTAGTAGCATACAACCCTACTAACTAATGTATATTAGCATGAAATCATTCACATACTTAGTCATACATGATACAAACAAGTAGTAGTTAATATCATTGTATGCAAAAAAAATCTTCTTACACAAAAGCTCACATCAAAGGGTTGTACTTATCCAGATGTCTTTCTCGATACTCCAACATGTGAGCACATCAATAGTAGTTATCCAGATAGTCAATAATAAACAAATACGTGTGTTACCTCATTTACACCATACCACTCCCCTTTTTTTCCATAATTTGGAAAAGGAATGAAAAGAGAGAAAAACTTCAGGAATACTACCAAATAGCTCAGAGCAGAGAAGTCTTTCTTCAAAGCATATTCGATCTTATAAATCTTCTAAATCCAAATATTTTTTCAAACTGATTTGGATTAACAAACTACATTCAAAAGACACATTTTCTTACCAAATGCAATACTAGACATCTGCGCACCAAAATGTCCCACAATATTTTCTAGACATTTTGTTTTCTATTTTACCTATAAAAATAAGCCAACCAAAGAAACAATAATCTCCCCCTTTGTTTATTTTTAGGCAAATCACATATTTAACCACTTTTTCAAGATTGCACCACAACTAGTGCTCAAGAGACAAACATTATCAAATAGGTGTACCATTTTCTTCCTCCCTCCTATTTACATTAAAAGAGACAAAGGACATAGAAAGAACCATAAACAAAACAGAAAGCTTCAGAATCTAGAACAAAAGCTTGACAAGAACGACATCCAATAAGACCAACACATATCTACGGCCAAAAGACCTCGAGAATGTAACAAATACCATAGAACAATGACACAAGACCATAATCATCAAAGGAAAACCAAAATAGTAATAGCAACAATAGCTTGTTGAGGTGAAAAATCTCTAACATTTATCCATCAAAAATCATATCAATTTCATCAACAGGCGCATAGAAGTTGGACATAATGTGTGAGACATCTTTCCCAACATTCAAATTGAAAGTGAAATTCAGCAACTCATGAGGAATATATTCATTCTTAGCCTCAATCTCCTTCATCAACCTAGGATAACATGCTCCAACAATCAGCATTGTCTTCAACAACTAAGCATCAATGTGAAGCTCCATAATTTCATTATACTTCATTACTTCAACATAATATTCTCCTTCATCCTCACTTGTAGTTTCCTCTTATTCCTTGGTCATAATCTTGTCAATAGAGGTAACCTTAATAATCATCAGTAATTGGGGGTGAAAACTTCACCCACTTTCCTCTATCATACACTTTTCTATACTCCTTACAACCTTCACCATTACACTCAACAGTAATGTTCATAATGAATTCTTTGACCATACTTTCATAGCAATGACGAACAACTTTTATCAATTTCGTGATATCTTTACAATAAAAAGATTATTTATTTATCTCTCATACACAAGCAATTCTTCTTTGGAAGACATACTTCGAATTTTTAAACACTGGTTTCATAAAGGAATGACACATTATCTAGGGGGGCAGTAGAAACATTCACATGAATTCTCTTTTCAGAAATATTTCTTCTTGCAAGCCTCATTTGCATTAATTTCTATAAGATTTCACACCCCTAAATACCAAGAGCACCCCTTAGCGTTTTAAGCTGAGCATTATCTAAAGCTTTGGTAGAAATAACTCTTGGTAGCTTAACTTATAAACCGAGTGACTAGGTAAGACTTCCTACAATACTCATCTCAATTTCAGAGTGCATTTGTTGAACATAATGTTCCAACATTTTGTCTTACATTTCATCAAACACACGATCATGTTTTTGAATCATCCAAATTCCAGAATTATGAGAAGGAACCCCAATAAG